CGCTGTAGATTCCCGTCAGTAACACTTTCGGTCCGCTAGTAAAACGTAGTTCTATTAATCTGCGCTCATCACTCTCGAACCGGATTTAAGTCCCAAAAAGCTGAATTGTAGAACTGAAACTGAATGGTGAGAAGTGAATCTGAAATTATTCGAGAGCTGAATTTTTAAAGGATAAAATACAGTTTCAAAGCAAATGAATTCAATTTCAAAATATAAAATTCAATTTCAATTTAGTGATCATTTTCAAACCAATAAATTGAATTTCAAATTAGACTAATTCAAATTCAGTTTTTAAAAACATTTATTCAAGTTACAATTCAGATTCGATCCGAGCAATTCAAATTCAAATTTAACTTATTCAACTTCAGTTTCTGATGGCACAGATTTCTGCCCATACATTTTTCTGTGCTTCCACACAATGACCTTTCTAAAACATAGTGACTTACAGAATTTAAAATGGGAGGCTATAACTATCAAAAGTTCCTTCCACCTCTCCTGTTCACTCCATTGTTGATTTCACTCTTCTCGAGTTAAAACAGATGTGAAGGAACTAATTTCATTGTTATTTTTAGTGTTAGACACGCGCACACAAACTTACTGCTTTAGCCCTTTTTATCAAGTTTTTGACTGGATGTCCTTACCGGGCAAAGTTATTCCAGGGTCCTTCATTGAGAACATATTAAATCAGGAATACACTGCTTCTAATTGGTGGATTCAAATAGAGTTCTCTCTGGTCTGTCTCTGCTGGACTGCATTACATCAAAATTCAAATTTTAATGTGGCCATGGCATAAAGACACCCATCTGAAAAACCTTCCATTTAGGTATTGGGGATTATCAGGGAAATTTTTGAGGGAAGAGGAGAGTAGGTTAATAAGAATGACAATTACACAATAATAGGATGATGGCTGGGCCTTCAAACTGGGGGCTGAGTAAGCGCATTATAGGCAAAAGCTTTTAGCTGTCACCAATGACAGCACTGAGCCTATTTTCCTCCCATGCCATTTGTCAGACAGACGTGTTTTTTGTTTTTATTTTTTACACCAAAAACAGCTTGCCTATGAGATGAATGCTGTAATTTTTTTTCCAGTGTACATTTTCAGTTTTTTTAATCATTTAAATAAATCCCCCAAATCTCTCTTCAATTCAAGTAATTGAGAAGGTGGGAAGAAGCACCATTCAAAATTTCTCCTCAACTTGCTGCTGTGTCTGCTCAATGCGCCGTATAATCTGGTGTGTCTTATGGCCCAAAAAAATACAGTATCTTCTACCTTCATTTACTTCATTTATGTCCAAAGTCCAACTTTTTGTGCGATGGTTAGCATCTTCCTCTGCCTTTTGGGTGCTACTGCAGGTGCCTTCCCATATGGAAAAGAAATAGTAAAAACTTACATGATGTACTCATTACTTTCATATATTTAGTAAGTATCCAAAACATACAAGTTTCATTTATATAATTTTTCAAGGGATCTTATATCTGTTTTTACTCTTGTATGCTTTTCATACAAGTTTCACACAAGACAGACACAAGCTTTATAAGATTTATAAATATCTTTTCCATTTGGGTTTGACGATGCAAAACGTTTCGTCGACATTGTTGTGTTTGTTGGGCAGAAAACGTACAAACATAAAGTACAGCATTTCAGAGTCACGCTGCTAGCGATCGAAGATTTATGTCAATTCAACAAGCTGAATGCATTCTGGACGGCACGGCACAATACTGATCGACAATGGTCTCCAGCCAATCAGGATGCAGAACACAATGCGCTGTTTAAAGAAAAAGAAAAAAAGCGTGCAAAATTGCACAAACAAATCTGCAAAACAACGAGGCCGCGAAAGGTGAACCGCGTTACAGCGAGGTTTGGAGTCTTTAGTGAATAACTCCACGACTCTACAGGAAGTTGGCGACCTCTGTGCACTATGCGCCTCCGCTCTGTGATTTTACTTGGCCTACTATTTTGTGACTGAGTTGATGTCGTTCCTAATTGCTTACACTTTGTTATAATACCACTAACAGTTGACTGTGTAAAGTTTTGTAGCGAGGAAACTCCATGACTAGACTTGCTGCACAAGTGGCATTCTGTCACTGTACCAAGCTGGAATTAACGGAGTACCAGCTGAGTGACCCATTCATTCACAAATGTTTGTAGATGCAGTCTGCATGCATGGTGAACACCTAAATTCAATTTGGATGGAAGACGTTATAAATAAATTGGGGTGGCTCAACACTTTTGTAGAATACTATAGTTATTGTTAATATGAAGCATTTTAAAAGGTTAATTTGGTCTGTCCATTCAGGATATCCAGGTGCTTTTTGCAGCATAATTGAAGCTGCATTGTATCAGTTTTATATTACCGTATATTGAGCTAGTGTCAGAAAAACAAATGTGCAGATGCATCCATTCTTGAAACCAAATGAATTATTTCAGTGACATTGCCTTTGACAAAGAATCATCTGTTGTGTGCTACATGTAAAAAAGCTTAACTTCACACAAGGCCTCTTCAAAGCTCATGTAGCTCGTGTGTAAACATGACTCCCAACAGCTACCTGTACTGTTTAGTATATCAACATTGGTCCTGTTTAAATAATAATATCAGTGAGGTTTTCAACATTGAAGGTTAAAACTGCTCAATGTGCCTGACTTGCATTAAAAATACAGAAGAGAAGAAAAATCATATCAAGAATGTCGTATATTTTTCCTCTGATTTTATTGCATACATAATCAGTGACGATCAATGATACTCCCTGTAAGTGTAAAGTAGTTTAAACAAGACTTTGCATTTAATCATCAGTTGTTATTATTCTCTGGTTCCCTTCCACAGTGGGCGATTTGTCTTCCTCCCCTCAGCCAGTTACAGCTCTATGGCCCTTCCTGTTCTGCCGCAGGTTTCCTGTTAAAAGGGAGGTTTTCTCTCCCACTGTCACTAAACCGCTTGCTCAAGGGAGGAAGGGGGGTGTAATTGTTGGGGATTTTTTTTTTTCTATTATTTTAGGGGCTTCACCTTACAGTATAAAATGCTTTGGTCCTATATAATGCTATATAAATACAATTTAATGGAAATGTTTTGAATCTCTGTCTTGCTTCCAGCCAATGAAGGATCTATGCTCAGACAAAGTGCTTGGCCTGTACTTCTCTGATGGGAAGCGACGTGTGGACTATGTTCTGACTTACCATATCCAAAAGTCTGGCAGCACACGAAGACAGTCATCGAAGTTTGGGGATAACAGCTTCATACGACGACTTCGGCGCAGCCTGAGCAAGAGAAGCAGCCGAGCTCCGCTACAACCAAAAGAAGACCCAGAGGTTGCCGCACAGGAGCATCAGACTGACTATCATGAGGATGACAAGCGCTTTAAACGGGATGAGTTTGAGGAAAACCTCCAGAAGACAGGGCTAGAACTGGAAAAGGATGAAGGGGTGAGAAGGGAGAGGGCTGGGGTGAGGGAAATTGTTTGATTAGGGTAATGTAATGATGACATTTTGATTTTAACATAATCCTGTTCGTTTTTGCTCAGGTTTATTCCTGCTCTCAGTTAATAACAGGACTGATTTGCTAACAAAAAGTCCTCTAAGCCGGCGGTCCCCAACCCACCACGGACTGGTTCATGTCCGACAGTATTTTCACAGACCGGCCTTTAAGGTGTCAGAGACAAATACAACAAAATAAAACCAGTGGTTTTATTTTATAAAGAGAAGATTTATTCATAACACGCGGGAAAAGACCCAGGGAAACAGAGTTAACAATAAAAACCCTGAAAACCATAAATTTCACACCCGAGCCTCAACTTTCGCGGCCCGGTACTAAACGACTCATGGACCGATAGCGGTCCGTGGCTCGGGGGTTGGGGACCACTGCACTAAGCAGTATGTGCTGATTCTTGATAATCAGCTAATGGTGATGTTTCATTTCTTTTGCACTTCAGAAAACTATTAAACCCTAAGGAAATTCATACATGTGGTCAGCTGCTCCCGCACTCAATAAAAGGCAACAGTCACTCTATAATGAGTTGATCCAATAACGAATACAAGATATATTCATTAACAATATATCAACACAATAAGAACAATAAGAACACACTTCCTCCTGAGGGTCCAAGTTCACCAACAATTGAGCCTTTTTGATTATTTTTTTTAGTCTGTGAATGTTCTTTTTGAAACAGCACCCCCAGCACCACATAGAGAAGCATACTGGGAACCATCGACTGTTAAACTCACTCCAGCAGATGTTAAGACACAAGCCTCCATAGGGAGGTCCTTCCTGTAGAGAAGGTTGGTGTTAGGGGTGGGTTTTGATTATCGATTAAAATCGATTCTGGCTTGGATAACGTGATATCAATCGATTACAATCCTGAAACGATTTTTAATATAAATTTATTTT